GAAGGTAGATCCTCATCTAACATGGTACGATTTGCTTTGATGACTGTAGGCAAGCTGAAATTCTGGAAAGAAAGAGACAAAAACGGCTTAGGCAGAAAGAACAGAAAGCAAAGGAGCACAAGAATGGGGAGAAGGTTAATCTGGAGGACAGTTTTGATATCATAGAGAACGACACTTTGTCAGATGTGCCTGGAAATTTGAGTTCATCAGAATTAGACATGCGCATTACAGATGCACCTTCAGATCCTGTACCGTCATTGCATGAAGTACCCCAGCTTCCAGATTCTGAAGAAGGGCCAGACTTTGAGAATGAGTCAGGGCTTGGCAGTGATTATCCAGACTTTAATAATTTTCAGAATGTTGAAGCACAAAGGGTACATGGAGGCAGTCATCAACACCTACGAATTACCAGTTGGCATGTACCTCGAAAACAGCGTCCCGCATCTGGTGCTTTGCATGAATTCAATGGATCCAGTTCATCTAAGCCTGAGTTCAAGCATAAGCATGTAAACCAGGATTCGAGAGCTGCCTATACATTTAACAACAAGAAAGTATGGAGTAGAAAATTAAAACCTGAGAAAGAAGACAAGAATTTGAACTTTAGAGTCCACGAGGCATTCAGCCCAGCTGGACCTGATAAGAAACGCGAACTTTTGATTGGCTCTATAGCTGTTGCTCTTCGAAGCCCTTGTAGCCCAGAAGATTCATATAATCTGGGTGAGATAGAAAATGGCTATAGAGTAGAATGCCAAGTTCAGAAGCAGGACATTCATTCATTATCCAGCAGGCCTGACACTCTCCAATGCAGCACTAACCAGCCAAGGGGCAAGCTCTGGAGGCCAGTGAGCCGGAATGGAGTCAAGGATTCTGTTCTTGAGAATGGCAATAGAGCTTCTGAAGGTGATGAGAATGCTGCCGTGAAGGGTGATTGTCAAACACTTGCTGACGAAAACCTGCTTATGTCAGCCAGGGTTAATGGTAATGATCACGGAAATGAGGATAGTTCAGCACAGGCTGGTGCGGAAAATCCAGGAAACTTGGAGTTTTCGAGCCATTCTGCACGGGCTTTTCTTGCGGAGAGTGAGTTTAACATGCTATTACATATCAATTTGTCAGAGCAGATGGCTCTTTTTATGTGCTTATGTCTATCATTTAAATATCCATTTGCCGGGGTTTCTAAGATGGGATATTCCTTGTCTGAACTTGCAGGATGGAAGGAAGCTATTGCAGCAGACCATGTAAAGTTGTTCTTGCTTCCTGAATCTGAACCTCCGGGATCCCCTGAGACCCAAACTGACTGCCAAGGATCTCCAGAATTTGGCGAACGCAGCATTCTTGGAAATGCAGAGAACCGGATAGTAAATGGTGGTAATTTTGGGTCTTTGGCATCTGGAATTGCTAAAGTTGGCAATAGAGTGAAACTCGACAAGAGCTTTAAGAAAAAGTATATTCCAAAACAAAGAGGTGGTACATAGTTTGGAGTTAGCATATTTTATGATACAGGTGTGCAGTGATTATCCCAGACTAGTATTCTCAGCAGAGGTTCCAGTTTTACCGATGGTCTTCTGTGTTGTTATTCAAGGTTGGCTTGGCCGGAAATTCGTTTTATACTTCCGTCCTTTCTTTTCGTTGCATAGTAGCAAAATGACACAGAAAGTTTTTCATTGTTTCTTCTATCATTCTGGAATAAACTTTGATCTGTCTAGTGCCATCGAGAAGATCTATTTTGGCACCATTTTTGCTGCTCCTCTCTCCTGCCCTCCCCTCCCCCCCCCTCGATCATTCTTTCTCTTGTGTGCTATCTGGTTCAAGGCCAGGACAGAGCGGCAGAGAATGGAAAGCATTACAACTTTGACATGCTTCGGAATGGAATTCTTATTGAGTTCTTTTTATTCGTTGTTTAAACTATAATGTTGTGAAACCCTTACCAGAAAAAAACTATAATGTTGTGAATTTCTCCAAGAAAGAATAACCAACTGAGATGCGTGAGATGTGTAATCAGCCGAGAATCGTCCTCAATTGGTCCTATAGTATGACCTGTGAAGCTAAGAACAGGCTAACGCATGAAACCAGTAAGATTCATTTTGATCGTACACTCTCTTTTACCACTTTGGGGATTTGACTTGTGCAATTCGATTGCAATCTATTCCTGGTAATAGTGACTCGCCAGGTATAAATCTATTCTCTCTTTTTTCCCTTGAGTCGGGAAGATGGTTTTCTTTTACCTTTTATCTTGAGGGGGTTTAACATTGCAAAACTGTAACGGAAGAAACGGAAGGGTATTGGTTGTCAATTGTCGCTAATAGGTTTTACCTTTTAGCAAGACAAATTGGAAAGCAGGCCTAATTCCTTATTGATTCTCTAATAAAAAAAATCTTGGACAAGCCCTTCACAGGAAGATGGGCTTTGCAACTTAACCCACCATTTTTCCACTGAAGTTTCTTGGCCCCTGCTCACGTGAAAACACAATAGACGCGAAGCCGAACGCCCGCATCCAAAAAGTCCCAACCCAAACACACTGCGCGAATGCGGTAAAACGCCACGTCGCTGAAGTTGAAGCCCTTCGTCCGTCCGAGGAGGTGCCACTTGTGCGCTCTCTGCACCTCATACCTTCCCGTTCCCCTATCTGTCCTCTCCTTAACCTCTTTGACCAGAGAAACATTTTTGCTCTCGTAATGCTCTAATCCATACTGATTCTCCACAACTAGACCGCCCCTGATTCTTTCTTAAAGGCCAAAACAATGTCAGGCGGTGATGGTCCCATCAACTACGGTAGCCTCCCCAAGGACGACCAGCAACACCCATCCCCATCCCCGCCACCGCCCGCCTCCACCTCCACCGCCAAGAGCAGCTTCCTCAGCTTCCGCTATCTCAGCTTCCGCCATCTCAACTGCCTCGCCGTCATCGTCGTCCTCGCCGCCAGCGGCCTGGTGTGCTACCAGGACCTTGCCTTCCTCGTCCTCTCCCTCGCCTACATTCACGTCCTCTCCGTCGTCGCCTTCCCCTCCCTCGGCCCCGCCCGGGAGCCCACCGTGTTCGACCCTAGGAGCAACCGGGTCCTCAAGCTCTACGTCTCCTTCGCCGCCGTCGTCGGCCTCTTCCTCCCCATCGCCTACATCTTCGAGGGCATCTACGAGGGCGACAAGGAGGGCATCGCGGCCGCCGCTCCACACTTGTTCCTCCTCGCCAGCCAGGTCAGCATTCCCGGTAATTTCTTTTTTTTTCCTTCAATCTCTCGTCTTTAATTTAAGCGTCTGCGTCCGCCGCCGAGACAGGTGTTCATGGAGGGCGTGGCGTTCTCGCCGCAGTTCTCGACGCCCATCCGGGTCTTCGTGCCGGTGTCGTACAACGCGAGGAGGATCTTCACGCTGATGGACTGGTTGGAGAGCGAGTTCCGGAAGGAGGGCGGCGCCGCGGCGGCGGGTCGGCGAGGAGGGTATACGTGGGGAGGATCCTTGCGGCGGCGAACATGGCGCTGTGGTGCTTCAATCTGTTCGCCTTCTTGTTGCCGGTGTACATGCCCAGGGCCTTCAAGAAGTACTACGCTGCGTATTTCAAGGTCAAGGATGTATAAAATTGTATTCATATTGCATGAGCTCTTTTTGCGCTTTTTCTCAGAACATCATGGAACGTGGGTTTGTATAAATTATTGTATTCATATTACTCGAGCTGTTCTGTGCCACAAGAAATCGCGATCAAGACTTCGCGGTTGAGATTTCGTCCTTTGGTTCGACCTTCGGCTATGGCTTATGTCGCTAAAAAAAGTCGTTAATTCCTCTCGGGACATGATAATTGCAACTTTATTCTTAACCATACAAAACTCAATTCAATTCGGGTGGTGGAAATTGACTATTCCGCATGTTGTTTCGAGCTATCCTTTTCGATTATCTGACTTTTCCATTTCATACATTATTGGGTATGATGTCTAATTGTGCTTTTCAACTTGTACGTGATAACACTATCTGTCAAGTTAATATGAAATAGTCCAGCCTTTTTAGACTTCTTAGTCTTGTGCGCGAAATGATAATAGAACTCCGAATAAGTACAAGTTTTCGAATTTGAGCTTCTTCGAAGATAATATCACCGTGCTAAGGCAATGAAATGAAGGGCGAGAATGAAAAGGTAACAAGTGCAAAATGACAGTTAAGTCATATCTGAAATGTTTAATGAAGTACTTTACTAATTTGTTCTGCTATTTTAGCTTTATATCAATAGAGGAAGAGTTATGAAGTGCGAAAGAAAGGTGGGGTGTACTTAATTATATATATCATTGTAAAGGAAGCCCTTCAAATTCAATTATAAACAAAAAAGGAAAAAAAACGACAAGTCGCTCTATTTGGACGAAAGAAATCCACAACCAACTACACACTATATGCTAAGTAGCATGTTCTAGTGATCTGCCAACGCTACTAATTGAGCGTCGGCACGTAATTATGCTGTCAATAAGAAGGGAGCCGGCTCTGCGGCTCACTTCGAGTTGGAAAGACTTTCTCCCTAAGCGAATGTCTCACCAACATAAAAATGAGGGTTTCGCTTGTGACACTAGCTCACGACGGCCTATATTGGAAATCGTTACCATCTCATTAAGGACAGATTTTGTTGTTCATACGTCAAAGGCTGATAAGGTTTTGCGCATTGTACGATGATTTACCTAGCTCACGACGGCCTATATTGGAAATCGTTGCCATCTCATTAAGGACAGATTTTGTTGTTCATACGTCAAAGGCTGATAAGGTTTTGCGCATTGTACGATGATTTACCTGCCAGCTATAGCTTGGTCTAATTCTGTACATGCTTATGAGTGCGAGATTATGTACGTGATTAGGCAGCAGACAAAAGCGGTATCCTTGCAAATCTGAAAAATAGGAAAGTTACAGAAGTACATCAGCAACAGTCATACCCGTTTGAAAACGACCGTGGCGTGGAAAGTTTGGCTGCGTGCGTTGCCAAGCATTTCCATGGTCGTCGACTCCTAAAAACTCTGAATAAAGCTGACAACTTGGCGCGTTCTACTCCACTAATCACAATCCCAGAGCCCACCAAACAAAACCCAGAATTCTCACTTTCCCTTGCCTCTGCTTTCTCTGAGTTTCTTCATCAACTGGGTGCGGTTTTGACAAAGGCTACTTGAGTGCGCATAATGTGGTGGTTCTGGCGAAAGGGAGCGTCGGGTTTCTCGGCTTCTTCCACGGCGGAGGAAGTCACTCATGGCATCGACGGCTCTGGTCTCACCGCCATCGTCACTGGTCACTTCTTTCACGCTCTTCTCAGATAACACTCGAACCTTTCGTTATCCTAATGCATATCACCAAGACTTTTCATGGGCTCTTTGGCTTTCATCCGTTCGATGTGGGAATAGCTATCTCCTTCGCTTAAGTATTCATTGATTCGTTGTTTGGCTCCATAGCTTTCACGTCTTTTCCTTATGCTTCAAATTTTGTTCGCAGTCTTGTCTAGTCGCTCATACAGAGCTTTTGTTGTCTGATTCCACCTCGCGGCGAGCAGGTGACCCTATGCGTGTTTAGAAAAGAACAAATGGCTGCTTGTAATCTCATGATTTGGTTGTTCGGAGTTTAGAGGTCGTGTCATTGCTTAGTCCACTCTAATTTCGTCGATCGTGTGCATGCTTGTCTTGGTCGCAGCGTCTTGTGATGTCATGGAATGAGAGGCGCATCATGTCTGTATGGGCGTGATGAGTTGATTCTTGCTCCTTCATGTAATTGTTATCCCTACTGCAGGAGCTTCTAGTGGCTTAGGTAGAGAAACTGCCCGTGTACTTGCACTGCGCGGTGTGAATGTGGTCATGGGCGTCAGGAATATGGCTGCTGGTCGTGATGTCAGAGAAGATATAGTGAAGGAAATACCTAGAGCAAAGGTAGATACGATGGAATTGGATCTCAGCTCAATGGCCTCTGTCAGGAAATTTGCATCCAACTTCAATTCATCTGGTCGTCCACTAAACATCCTCATGTAAGAAAGATTTATTTTTATAACTTTCTTTGTTCTTTTCCATGGTAAAATTTCTTCTTTCCCCCTCCCAACACCCTCGAAAAGTTTAACTCAAACCGTAACTTTGGAGGGGGAATGCAGACAAATCAGATCCTTTGGTAGGTTCACTTGCATTCAGGAATGAACTAGTCTTCTCTGCTCATACTTACTTAATTTTCTATCTGAAAGCAACAATGCAGGAATTGCGGGAACACCATTCATCTTATCAAAAGACAACATAGAGTTGCAGTTTGCAACAAATCACATAGGTAAAATGGCATGTGTTTTATTCTGTCAAAAGTGTTTATGCGAAACGTGCTGTAGTTTCTAAATGTGAAATTTCCTCAATGACGACATGCCTTCTGCGATCAACTGCTGCATTTTATCACGCTTCTAGAATTTACCCATATTTAAAATGGTCATTTAAGCTTTCTGCATCTCCTCTGGCTCTCCTGAAATTCTCTCTGCAGGTCATTTCCTTTTGACAAATCTTTTGCTGGACAACATGAAGAAAACAGCTCGTAAAAGTAGCAGGGAAGGAAGAATTGTGAATGTGTCTTCACAGGCTCACCGATGGACATACAATGAAGGCATCCGGTTCAATAAACTCAATGACAAGTCAGGGTAAGAAATGAAGTTTCTTTTAGTACTCCATCGAAGATGATTAATGATGCCCGATTCCTCTATATCAACACTCTCGTGGAACGAGTGGCTCAGTGGTGCGCTGTTCACTTCGGTTTTCCATGAATTCTGGAGGCTGGACTGTTTGGCTACTAAAGACACGTTCTCATCTTTTTTAGTCATTGCTGGCCACTGGGCCTGAATGAAGTAATATGGAATTTATTTGGTATATGAACTCACTATCAAAGGGCTATTCACTCCATTTGGAGTTATCCCGGTTCGTTTGAGGCGGTGTGGTACATCTATCTATTCTCTCCATGCCATGAGCTAGCAAATCTCCAAAAAATGACTAATGAAGCAAAAACAATGTTCCAGGATGACTTCTTGAGAAGCCTCCTTTCGCTAGTTTTACATTACCCTGACCGTGCTTTCACTTCTCTTGTATAGGTACAGCGGATTCAGGGCCTATGGACAGTCAAAGTTAGCCAACATTCTCCATGCTAACGAGCTAGCAAGGCAGTTAAAGGTAAGAAGTTCCTTTAAGATTGCATTCAGATGGGACTTTCCATAATGTAGTTGGATAAATAGAAGAGTAGCTCTTAGTTTAGTCACATAACCATGCGAGTACCAATTAGCCAATGTCTTTTGGGGCAGCAAGTGATCTAATCTACACTCGGCCTTTCTTTGTCCTGTCATGAGTATGGCTACACATTGACCTTTTGCCTTCTCGGTGTTGATTTCGCTTTATGATTCTGTTTGTTTAGTGTTGGCCATCTTTTTTTATATCTTAAATACACAAAATTTGAATGGAGAATAACTCCCAAACAGCTTATAAAACATTATATTCCTGTATTTGGCTCCCATGAAGGATATTTTCTGGACAACTTTGAGCATTCATCAGATCAGAGATGCCATTTAATTTAAAAATAGAATCAGAGGCCCTAAATGAGCTTAAGTTTCTGCAATAAATGTAGGGAACATCTCTACTTATTAAATTTACCATTCTACCTAGCATAGAGAAGTTCTCAAACTTGCTGCATCAACTTCCTTTCTGCTTTACGCAGGAAAATTTCGGTCGAATAATAATTTCTTATTCCTGCCAAAGTAGTCCTTTCCCTTCAGTAAACATTGGAATCAGAAATAGCATCATGAAGCTAATCTTTAATCTGTAGAGATATCAATCTGATAGTACTTGGGATGACAATCTTCTTTAAATTCTTTCTGTGAATGAACCGCAGTTTTCTGTTGAAGTAAATGAAGGGATCGCAGGACTCACGACAAAGATGATTGCTGAGAACTTATTTTTTTTCAGATATGCCATACTACTGGATATTGAAATATTTTGAAAATTATGCAGGAAGATGAGGTGAATATGACTGCCAATTCTCTCCACCCTGGAGTAATTGCTACAAATCTTTTCCGACATAACATCATATCCAACGGTATTTCCATGGCATTTCTGACTTGAGGTCTGACTAAGTTTGAGTTCTATGCTTGCTTGTGTACTCCATGGTAAAAGTAAAGGATTGAGAGAAAGCTTTGCTGTTCGATTGAAAAGTTTGAAACCCGGGGGATGAAAAATCATGTATCTTCTGTGAAAAAAGAGAATTTGCTCAGGAGAGAAGGGGGAATAAATGTGTGAGTTATGCATGGACCAGAAAGTATTGTGTATTTTTAGTGCTGATCTACTGTGTTTCATGCTTTTCATAATGCTTGCTTCTACGTTTGTGAATTTTCTGAGCACATGGGTGATGCTTTGTTTCGACAACTAGCAATAACAATGTCTTGCTTCTTTGTGGGTTAATGTTGTGTTGCTCCTTTTTGTTTCTTTTTGGTTTTGGAGGCACATCCTGACTCCCTTTCTGTTCGAAGCTCATTCAATTTAGGAATTACTTAAAATGCATTCTGCACGTTTTGCTTCAAGTATTGCTGAATTGGTAAAAAATGCAGTACATCTTTCAGCTCTTGCCAACCTAGCCTTGGCCCTCTGTTTTGGTTTCATGCAGGTTTTATGGCAGGACTTGGAAAACTTTTGTTCAAGAGTGTTCAGCAGGTAAATCTGTATAGAGATAAGTCACATCTGTCATAGCTAATGTGTATTATGTACCCTTCTCCATGGATATGCATCGTCTGGAACTAGTAATCCATATCACTGATTAGGTGTTTAGCTCTAGAACAGACAGGAACTGTTTCTCCCAGCAGTTCTTTTTTTTTTTTTTTCTGAATGCCTGTGAACGGCATGCTTTTGGATTCTGCCAGTAAGTTAACACGGATATTGTGATGAGTATGAAAGTACTTTTCTCCTAGCACAGAGCGATTTCTGTTGGCTTAAACTGTAATTTCCTTCTCCATTTTCTGTGGACTGATTGTGTAGGGGGCTGCAACGACATGCTACGTGGCACTGCATCCTCAAGTCAAGGGGGTCAGTGGTGAATATTTTGCGGACAGTAACTTGACTAAGACGAGCTCAAAGGGCAAAGACGTTGAGTTGGCCAGGAAACTTAGGGATTTTAGCATGAATTTGGTCGAGTGACGCATTTGGGATCTGTGGCGCACTGCTATGCTGGAAAACGAAACACAAGAATGCCCCAAGTTTTTCGCATTATCTGGCAACTTCAGCTTCAATCCATAACCATGGGATTGGGAGATGTATATTACTAACATCAAGCTGTGCTAATGATAGCTGAAACTTAGACAGTGGTCGGTTTGCATCAATGGCTACCGCTTTTCGTGTATTGAGATTGCTCTCTAAACGATTTCCAAAATCGGTGGTGCAGCGTGAGGAGAAGCGACAAACTGGCTCACAACAAAGAGCATGCGAGTCCTATTAGTAGGGTCATGTCAACCCTTGCTCACATGTCCCTTTTTTAGTATATTTATTATAAAATACTTCTATTTTCAGCACTGATCATCTGTAACAGTTAATACAAGAAAAGCATATGTGTGAATAACTTCAATCTTTTACAGTGAGGTAAAGTGAAAGTTTTTAAGTAAAATTCAATTCTTAAAGCGATATCTTTGAAATAATCAATATGGAATGAAAATAGAAGTCAGGAAGAGTATTTTGTATGTCGAAACTTCTAGCATAAATTATTTGAGTTAGAAAAAGCATCAAATTGCAGAATCCAAAGGGTCTAACCCAGGTTACGGAGTAGGTGTCCAGACCTCAGAATTATTTACAAGACAATACTTTTTCAATTGCCTCAGTTACTATAATTGCCGAAACTTTCACTATTGGGATAATAATTTTCTTCCAAAACTGTTGGTAAATGCAACTCATTTGTAGAATCCATCTAGGTCGCCTTGAATCACTTGCAAAATCGAGGAAGTTGAAATCGGTCAGCTGCATGGGTGATATATCTTGACAAACAGAATGAAATTTGATCTCTTAATTCATCTGGGGTCATATTGTACATACAAGAAAATAGTACAGAGTGATATATGGTGTTACATACAAGTGAAATGGCTTTGCCAATGATAATAAACAAGACTTTGCAGGCTCGGCAAATCCGCAGCTGCTTCCCGAGCAACTTCTAAAACCTCGACTGAGCTTACCATTATCTGTACATGAGTGTGGACCCCCAAAAAATTAGTCCGAAAGCTGTATGATTTACCAGCTGAACTTCTCTTTGGTTTAGCACGGCGACCTACCAAACACGTTCTCAAAATCCTGTCCCATGAGAGCCAAAAGCGCCTCCAGTCGATCGAGCGTCATCTATCTCATACTCTTACCTTTGAAAGAGTAAAGAGTGTAAGGTACCACTTTTTACACTGAGAGGAATGACCCTTCGCGCTTCAGTGCGCCAACTCTGTCAAATAGCTCACCCCACTTGCATTTGGACGATCAATAGTAACACTTCTCTTGAGCTCTTATTCCAGGAATTCTAAAACCTCCTAGCATCCTTATTGCGAAAAATAGCTCCCTTGGTATCTCACCAATTGAATGCAGCAATCCTGATTACCCAGACAAGTGAAATGACCTATTTGATGAATCAGCAAAAACATATTGAGTCAAACACCATTGATCCGACTAGGCAATGGAGAACGGGGACCGAGATCCAGGGTCAGGTTCGCCTTCACATGATTCCTCAGGAGCTGCTGAGACACGCGATCTGCCAATATTGACTGTCCATCATGTCCTTCCCTAGGAGGCGACCTCCCAAATGGCTTTCCCACAACACCATTATCAGAGGATGATAGTTCTGGAAAGATCTGAGATCCCAGCTGCAACCCTCGAAAGATTTCTGGATTCGTGTCATGGTAAGGGGACCCACCAATGTAGAGACTGTTTGAGGGCTTTGGTAAGCTTCCACCTCCCTCATTCAGGTAAAACGATTGCTTCATCTGATGGAATGGGATAGCACCACTTCCACCTGTTAAAGGAGTGCATGAGCCTGAAGCAGTTCGTGGGCTAGAGATTGGTGAAGGCGACATTCTTCCATTGAAATGTTGTGGTGCCCTTGCATGTAGAAGAGGGCTTCCAATAGGCGAGACGGGACATGATATGTTTCTTGGAATGTGCACATCACTGTAATCGGAATGAGGAGATCAGAAAAAAGTTCATCACAAACTATATTGTTGCTTCCAGACACATTAGATGCAAAATGTTACAGAGAATTTATACTCAATAAATATTTGAAATGGATACACGTACATTTTCTATTGTGCTTCTGCAAGAGAGAGAGAGAGAGAGAGAGAGAGAGAGAAACAAACCTAATATGAGGACTAGGTTTTATTATTCTAGATGAATGGACTGCAAGTCTATCGGATTCAAAAGAGGAAGTGTTTCTTTGCTGCCCAATGCCCTGCAAAATATAATTGATTGGTGAAGTCATCTCACAATTCAATCATCCATGAGGAAGCACCATTGTTGTAACCAATAAAGGCATAAAAAAAATTACAAGGGTCCTAAACGACTTGATAAGACGTCACAGAGTTTATCATGCTGACATTGAGCAGCCCTGATATTTCTACAAACTGCTCGATAATGATCTTCAAACAGCTGGATGAGCTTTTGGTTCCTTTGATTCTAAATTATCATAGAATCTATGCATTCGAACTGCCCTTATTTGCCTTTGCGTCTAGTCCATTTACTTTATCTCAAAGCATCATAGCATGTACAGTGGTCTGTTGCAGCTCTTTCAAGCACCACGAAAATCGTATAGTATCTACTGAAAACTGCAATTCTGAAATTCCTAATAGCACATACAAATCGTAAATATCGAGTCCCTAACACTTTTATCTCCTCACAGCAGATATGAGAATGATCCACACAATGCATCCTAGAAACTAATGCTGTTCACGGTTTCAAATGACATCATCAGAAGTATGAGGTAGCATCGCCCAATTAAGCGGCACCCACTATGGTGCAAAGTGCAAGAAAAACAAGGTACCATAACAATATCTAGTTTCAGCCTATTATTCATAAATAAGCTAGTCAGAGAAACTACCAGAGGTTTCGTTGGAACTGTAGCGCCAATGTGTGGATCTGAAGGATCGGGCCCCAAAGTTGATCTTTCAAGTGGTGCAGCAAACTTCACAAAAGGGTGCTCTAGAAGCTTTGCAGCTGTAGGACGATGTAACGGATTTCGTTGGAGACACTGCCGTACAAAATCCTTTCCATCTTCAGAAAGGTAGTCTGGAATTGCTGGGAGTTCCTTGCTATTCCCTATCTTAAACATAGCAGCAACCTATGCATCACACAAAAAGCAAACAAACATCATTCACCTTCAATGTGGAACTTAAAAAATGTGGGGTTCAAATTTATAAGCATCTTTCTTAGTGACCAACCCCTTCATATTGGCTCCAAGGTGGTTTTGTTGTGGCCATTTCCAAGACAGTGCATCCAAGGCTCCATACATCAACAGCAAGATTGCAACCATTTGAGTTCTTTATAACCTGGGCCAGATATCAAATTTAAACTATTAATTTAGAAAAATTGACAAAGATTTTGAAATTCTGATGCTAAGGAGAGAGTAAGTTACCTCAGGGGCCATCCAATATGGGCTTCCCTTAAAAGAAAGTGGACATGACTGTCCAGTTATCTGCAAAATTAAATGAAATGGAGATCGGATTAGCAACGGTGACTTGCAAGCCATGGCGGCCCTTTAGCAAAAGCACAAATAAAAACTAGGCATGAATGATTCAAATCACACCAACAACCATAACAATTTACAAGAGAATGATACAAGCATTGTGATTCAAGATTGCAATAATAACTCATCAGGAGTACATACTTGTAGCCATTCTTTTCTCTCTTTTCACCTAACATATTCTACAGAAACATGGCTCCATTGCTACAATTAGCTTAATCAAGTACTGTAAATGTCTTCACTCACATGCTTTGCCATCCCAAAATCTGCCAATTTAACACGGCCATTCGGATCTACCAGTATATTAGCTCCTTTTATATCCCTGCAGAAGAAAGATGGTCAGGCAAATCTGAAAAGAAGCTTCTGCTGTGGGATTATCAGATTAGAAAGAGGTAGTTCTTGCCTGTGAACAGTATTCTTAGCATGCAAATAAGCAAGACCTGACAATATTTGTTGAGTATAACTACGTATTGCGAGTTCACCAAGTTGTCCGTAGTCTTGGAGAAGCTTATAAATTGAACCACCAGATACATACTCCAGGTAGATATAGAGTTTATCGTCCACCTGCTCAACCATTAGATCAGAAGTTTCTAAATACTTCCAGTACAAAAAGACCCCACCAATTTAATTTCATTAGTCAGGCAAAAACTGTACTTCTTTACATCAGCATCCTAAAAAACAGAGGAGTATTGGCATCAAGCCTAGCAAAAAGAAAGGAAATGACTGAATTATAAACATACATTTTCTGAGCCATAATACTGCACAATATTTGGGTGCTGTAGCCGACTCAATAGAGCAATTTCCTGCAGAGCCCAATAGCACGTTTCAAAGGCTTATGACGGTCCAGAAGATGCAAGAGAATTTATACGGACCAACAGACCACACAGAGAGGGACGGAATATGATTAAATTACCTGCATCAACTGTTTTGCACTTTCCCTTGATTTAGCATCATCTGAAAATAGTGTAACCTCCTTCATAGCACACATTTCCCCACTTTCGCTGCATGAGCCAAACATCAAATGGTCACATTTGTATGACTCTTGATATACATCTTAACTATTCAGAGTCTACGTTCTCAATGTTCAAGTCAGCCCTAGTCTGATCGATTATCATCAGCTCATATTGTATGTAAGGGGTTAAACCTATGACAGCAAATGGATGTAACAATATTACCTATTAAAGCCAACATACACATGCCCAAATGTGCCTCTACCAAGCAATTTTCCCTTTTTCCATCGTGAACCAGGGCTTGCTGGAGTTTCTGACCTTCCTGGACTCCGTGGCACTGAAGGAGATGTAGCTGCAGAATTTGGATGAGAGAAAGGTGAGGAATTGGAAACTGCCACGGGAGGAAGAGGCAAACGATGACTTTGTTGTTTCCCATCATCAAGCCAGGTTGTCTGTGGCTCGATGGACGACCCTCCTGCCCTAGGATGTGTAGGTGTTACAGCACCGCTATGAATTCTAGAGCTAGGCCCAGGGCTAGCCATTCGTGGACTCGGTATAGGAGAATACTCGGGGCTGCCCCTGCTTTGCTGCCAAAACAACTGTCCTGACATATCACCTCCCATAGAATTGTGCCCAGAGTTGTGACCAGAACCTGGACTGGAACACTGGCCAGAGCCAAGCAGAGTAACATCTGTATAATGCTTTCCCGACCAGAAAGCCGAATTCACAACTTGCTCGGTGCCAAACGCTCTCAATGGACTTCTGGAAGGACTGGACATGGAGCTGTCTGGAGCACTATATAAAGTACCAGAGTATGGAAGTTGCAGATTTGGCAAATGACAGTTTAAAGGTCTCTGCTTGGGTGATGCAGGGGAAACATGATTGCTGAGAGAAAGGTTAGCTGGTCTTCTGGCTTCTCTTGAACTTATATGAGCAACAGTAGATTTCTGATCCTTGAATATCAATCTTCAGATAACAGAAAAGATAAATTTGTCAAAACACAGACTCATTCTACAAGCAGGGAGGTACACAGATAAATGATTAGAGAGGAAAAAACAAATGTCCGAACCAAACTGTGGTGATTGTTTCCAGCAAAAAAAGAAAATGTAATTGTTAGACACAGGCTTACCCGGAAGGACTGCTTGCAGTAGTTCTGGCCCCATTATCATAGTCAGTTGCACAGGGACTACGCTGCCGGGAGTCTGCAGGATCCTCACTATCAATGGAGCCCTCACTAGAAACTGAAGCAGTGACCAAGTCTCCATCTAATTCGGCATGATTTGCCTTGCTACGTATACATGCAGGTCTGGGGAGAGGTAGAAACAGTTTGGGGCCTTTATCTGATCGGGGTTTCGGCACACTGATCCCAGAATCTGTACGACCAACACTTGCAGGGTGAGGACCAGGAAGTGGAAGTGGCTGAGCAAGTGGCCTTTCAGCAAAACTTTGACATCTGGAAACTGCCTTGGAAGGAGAAGGTGATCGCGATTCTGCTCGAGATAATGATCCCTTCTCTGAGGCTGTGTCACAATGTCTACGTGATCCTCCTGATCTTATGTTCAATTTTCCATCAGAAGGATTTTTGAATTTGCGATGCAATGTATCAATGAAACTCTCCTTGTTAGTTTTCTTCTTAGCGTCCTTGGATGATGACTTCCCCCACCACGAAGGCATCCTTGCACTTCGACGCTAGTCACGGTGGCAAGCTAGTTTAACAAAATTAAACCCATCCACGTACACTTAAACTTGAATTTAGAGCCTCCACATGATGTCACTGAAAAGACATCCGAAATTATCTGTTTGCCACAGCTAAGTTCAGAGCAAATATAATAGCAAATACACAATGCCTAGGAGGACTGAGCAAGCTTTAAACTGGAGCATGGATGAGTAAAACCAGCAGAAAGAATTGAATTCTTGCTTTGGTTTACTGGGTTCTCCGAACTTCTTGTTCACAGTACGTATATCCTGAACACATGTGAAACAAGAGCATTTATGCATGTAAATACCGTGGTTTTCCAAAAGTAGCATAAAAACTAACTACTCACTTAAACTGGAAAATACACTTGCGCGAGATTATTCAGAGAGTAGTCCTGACAATAGCCCCTCTGTCCAAGATCCAGTAGTTGCAAACAATCGGATAGCGTAGGTTGAGTGTTTCTGTACAAATATTATTTGTTATCCTCCAGATATATAAGAAAAGGAAACAGTATCTCATAACTAAGTAACACAGTGATGCCTCACTTGCCGGATGGCCCCGACACGGAGCAATTTCAGATAACCACGATCATATTATGGAACAACTTGACCATTTCAATAGAAGATGCAAGAGTGAAGTTTACCTATATGCCTAGTGTCCATGCCCCTACAGAATCTATGATAATTATCGCCAAAGAAGTGACTAGCCATAGAGATGCACAATGTTCTTCACACTGATTCACTAGCAGCATGGATATCACTGAAATTCGCGGTTCCCCGATTTAGAGAAAAAACAAATTCTTTCTTCAACGCATCAAGAATCCCAGAATCGACGATGAACTCCGAAATCACTAAAATTTATCGATCATGCGCACCACAAGCAAACGGACTGTCACTGAAAGACCACCAAACGCAATGCAACTGACAAAATTTTCCAGAAACCCAAAGCACAGACCACGCGATTCCCAAAACACCCACCGCCTTTCATCATCATCATTCCTCTCCCGCTACCGCACAACGGACAACGATCTACACCCCAATACAGATCTACGCGCGAACAAGAAACCACGAGATACACGCGCGCGCACACAAGCAAGCTGATTCAGTTGATTCCCACCAAGAATTCACCGGGAATTACAAATAGAAACGCGGAGAAGAAGATGGGTCGGCTGCTTACAAGCGAAGAAAGCTCCGAGCTCAGCAAAGCAAGCCGAGCTGAGGGGGGGGACACGCGCGCACACTGATCGATTGCCCCGGAAGAATCGAGGGACAGCGCTCCGAATCTGGGAGCAGAATCAGCGACGCGGGAGCGAAATCGAAACCCTAGACACGCGAAGGAATGTGTCGGAGGGGGAGGGGAGGGGGGGGCATAAAGTGGGGGAGATTTTGAAGAGGATTTCGCGAATTGAGGAGTGAGTCTTTGTGCAGGAGATCGCGTACAGAAAGGGACTGAAACAAATGGAGAGAGAGAGAGAGAGAAAGACAGAAAGAGAAAGAGAAAGAGCAGAAGAGAAGAGAGAGAGAGAGAGAGACTGTCTCAGTTAAGACATGAGTTGTCTCTACGTTGAATTGTGAGTGGAATTTTTCTATTTCGTTGCTCTTCTTCCGTAGAACGTAAAATTAAAAAGCGAATCATAATAATAATAATAATATCATTTTCCAATTTTCCTCTCTCTTTTTCTTTATTTTTTTTGCCGTATCAATGCCCGGACGCGAAATCGTTTCGCTCGGGTATAACTTTTTTGACTTTTATTCGATTTTGAGAAGCTCCTCTCGTTTTTTCAAAGCGAATTTGACTCCTGGGAAGAAAAATCATCGTCATCGTCCTCATCATTCCTTGTTTTTTTCCTTTTTCTTTTTTTTTCCCCTAACCGAGTGATGATGATACAAGAGAGTCTCCGACTCGGTAGGCCGAAGTGGGAGTCCGACTGAGCTGGCCCGTAGGGGCGATTTTACGCTTTTGCCCCTCCATGAAACGGCGGCCCGCCCACACTTCTCTTCTCAAGCTCCTTTCTTCTTTCTTCTTCTTCTTATTTTTTTTTTTTCGTTTTAATTATTTTTTCCCTTTGCTCTATGGTCAAAGCTACCTGTGGCTCGGGTTGGGTTCGAGCGGGTAGCGAGCTGCCAAGTTTATGATCAGGTTTACTAGTCGCATATTAAGAAATTGGAGAATAAATAAATATACCATTTGATTGAAAGATAAGCAGTTTTCACTAAGAAATCCACATCAATGAGCTTTTGTGTCCATTCTAGGAGAATGAACATTTGGACAGTGATTTTATGTTTCCGTGGATAACTTACCCAATCTTCACTGGCAAAATCAATTGGTTGTGGACTTTATTTGCCCCTTCTGAAGTTGGGTAGCACTGATGTAGAAGGGAATGGGGAAATTGTCATCCTCAGTCAAAGCTCCGAGCTTAATCGTCTTAGGGTGCGTTTGGTAACTATTTTGTTCCCGGAAATAATTTCTGCTCAGAATTGATTTTTTTTATTTTGTTCTCGTAAACAATTTCTAAGCATTTGAAGGTGTTTGGTAACAACCCAAAATTTCCATTCCTGAAACAAAAAAAGAACAGAAAAGCCTTTGGTAACTGCACAAAATTTCTTTTTATTAATAATATTTTAATAATTTTTTTAATATTTTTTTCTTTTTTTCTTCTTCTCCTTCTTGGCCGTGGTTGGGTTGTCGGCCATGGCCGGTTGGTTGGTGATTGGCGACAAGCTAGGGCCGACGAGGCCGTCGGCGCCCTTGCCAGTGAGGGCGAGGGTGGCCCTTGCCCAGGCTGCGAGCCTCGACGGCAACCCTCGCTCTCCCCGGTGAGGGCTAGAAAAGGCCACGAGGGTCCAGCCCTCGCCCTCGCCGGCCACCGGCCACAAGCCAGAAAAGAAGAAGAACCGGCCACAGCCAGTAAGGAAAGAAGAAAAAGAAAGAAAAAATTATCTTCTATTTCTGATACTTGTTCTCAGAATCAAGAAGCAATTTTTTTTTCTTGATTCTGTTCCAAAACTTATTCTGGGAACAAAAAATTTACCAAACGGATTTACGTTCTTTTTTTTTGTTTTCGAGAATAAAAGAATAGAATTAGTTACCATTTGGCAAGTTACCAAATGCACCCTTATAGGACTTGTAGGGTATTTTAGATAGTCGAGTCTCGACATTTGTGACCTTAATTTATGAAAGAAAACAAAAAAGAGGAAATGTATTAGCCACGTGGCCGAATCTATAAGGTGAAAAAGATGAGGTGCACAAATAGAAACAACTTGCCGATTGGTTCACGGGGGATTAGGTTCCCTGTCATTTCCCCGAAATGGAGTTGACCCCGGTTTAGTAAACGGTTAATCGTGTCCGTCGAATGAGGCTTTACGATGCGGTCGACCGCGGGGGATAGAATCCAGGAAGTCAAAGATGGAGTGAAATGCAACTTTTCGGCAGTTTAACGCTATCCGGGAATAATCTCGCTCGCGGCTTCTGAGTTTTGGGGTTACGATCCTCCTCCAGTGAAGATGGGTCTGCATATGAACGGCCCGAGTTAAATGCATCTTCTAGCAATTTTTCGAGAAATGATTAACTGATAGTCCTTAATCTATCGTGAGATTAATAGCATATCATAAAAAAATAATAATTATAAATTATTGCGGGGTCCACTTTTTCAAGAATTTATGACTTATAACATGCTGTTACTCTCACGGTGGCTCAAAAACTGTTATGCTAGTGAAGCTCAATTACCTCTCTAATTTGATCGGGTCACCCATACCCTTAATCTTACGGATATCATATGACATCATCTTGCCAGGCACACTATTGAGATTTGCCTCTCTGATTTGATCGAAAATTGGCCATCCATGCCGTTAGTTTGAAAACTGGGCACTCGTGATATTTATCTTGAGAGGTTGTAGCGAGCAGGGACCGAGTCCGAGACTCGCATCTTTTGAGGGGTGGTGAGTCGACCAATTCCCTAAAATTTGTCTCGATCAAGACTTATTATTGCAGTTATTGATTGGACTCGTTTTATTTTGCATCCATGTGATTTCATTCTTTTGTGCAATGAAAGGATTATGAAATGCTCTAATTTTACATTACGTTATCACTTCATATGCTTTGACAATACCAATCATACAGATAAATGATAAAGAATAAAAATGTTTGGTACCAATATATCAAAACAAGTAATACTTTAAAATTGGGAAATTTTCCAAAAAGTCATAAACCTATTACACTTTTTCAATTGAGTCCTAAATCTTTTCAGATTTTGTCAATTGAGTCTATTAGACCAATTTTGGCAAAAAATCGCTGACATGGATGCCAGATGGCCGGCTCTGTCGTGGATAATATTTTAATATTTTTCAATTTTTTAATTAAATTTCAAATTAATTTTTAATTAGTTTATCCACTGCTGTTGTTTAGATTAACTATATGGAAGTCCTGAAGTAAAAAACCTATTCAATGAGGGCTTGCAGAAGTCCTAATTTTCTCTTTATAATATCATTATCGTATGAGTTTAAGCTGGAGAGAGCTTACCCTGTGGGCGCCTATGTGCTGGATTGGGGCCTGATGGAGCAACTTGGTACTGCTAGGTATTACTCGATGCAAGAGGGGTGCCGATGAGGCTTTTAATCTCCCGTCTGAAACTTTGATTATCGCATCGTGCACATCCCCAGAGTTGTGAAGTTCCCTGTCCAAATCTTCAGATATGTTCCTAGCATTTATCCCCATGTCCAAGAGAATCCAGTTTGACTTATGAATGTGATCATATCATGAAATGTAAAAGTGATGCATGATGGGGATGCGTTTTGACTGACCATAAGATTTTTTTATAGATAAATGATCACCACCAAGGTATAAATGTCACTCCATTAGCCAAGGGTAAAGATCCAGATAATTGAAGTTCACCACTAAGGCTTAAAGGAACGTTATCGGCCAAGGATAAATGATTTCGAGACAGGAAAAGTTCACCACCAAGGCAAGGCCCAAAGGAAACCCATAAGCTCCAAGGCAAGGCCCAAAGGAAACGCATAAGTCGAAACGCATAAGCTAAGGATAAAAAAATTTTTGGTTCACCACCAAAAAACTTGGATAAAGAGTGAGGGATAGAAGTTCGCTCATTTGAGGAAAATCTCACTAGTATTCAATGAAAGTCCGGTCCGTTGTACAAATGAGATTACAATTTTATTTATAGAGTGATTCTAAGCAAAAGAAAATGGCTCTTGGAATCCTAGAAACGAAAATGACTCTTCGTAAAAACTCATTAAAACTAGGACTAAATGCATTTAACTATACCAAATGCATGTATCTATTATTAGACTCTCCAAATTCGTCCAAGAGCCCTGAAAGCCAAATAGCCTCCTTAGAAGATCGACAAGCAGCCATGGAAATTGATCAGAACAGCTTTCAGTTGCTAGGTAGTCGATTAGCAGACTCGAAATCGACAACAATCTTGTATGTCGACATATTGATGGTCGATCAACAACTTCCTTATAGAATCGACCTCTTCAATCTTGAACCCATCCAATCAAATGTAGCCGAAATTCACCTTTGCTTGCGGGAATAATGATTGGGCTAGATAAGAATCTTATAGCGAATTCAGCAGGAGATTGCCTCAATTTAAAGTACCATTGAGCATTCGCTAGAGATGCTATTAGTTACTTCTTGTCATCTTATCTGTGTCAAACCTATAGCAGTTACAATAATGGTGGAAGGGACTCCGAACTTCAAGTGGTTCCAGAAGGACAGAGTGTAGCTGAGATCCGGGGCACGGCGAGCCTGTTCGCACACAATCAAGTTGGCCGCTGATCCGAGCAGCGAGAGATTCCCTGCGACGGTGCTCACCCAAGCTAATATGAGCCATGACTTCTTCTCTTCCGCGGCTGAAATAGCAGCTGCCGACACAGCCACCTGGCCTCCGAGCAAGAGAACTGGGGAACAAAGTGTTAGAAACATTGAACTACAGAAAGAAAGAAGGTAGAAACATCAGAATAGGAATGTGGAATTTGCGTGGACATGTCAAGATAAGATACAGAAACTAAGGAGAACCTTATGGTGTTGTTTGCAGGGCAAAGGATCAATCAGCGAAATGTCGCATCGAGTATGAAGAATTCTTCTGTCTTACTTAAACAGGATGGTGATGACAAATAGGTTCGAGCGATGAACATCAAACCAATAATAGTTAAAAACATGTAAGAGATTAGGCAATGCATCCATGTTTTGCAATTGGTAAAACTTCAAAGCCTCCAAAGATATTTCGGTCAGCTATAAACTGTTTGATTTGAAGTTTCTTATCGGCGGAGTAGACAACCCCTAGACCAAGAGGTAATCAAGTTGAGTATTTTGTTAGGCTAATTAAATGTCAGGTTCATTCAGGAGTAGCATCAGCATACCAGTTGGCACATTCGAAGCGACATTCGACAACACCAAAATGACAACAGCAAGAACAGCTATCCCGCTAGCATGATTGACTTTGGCATGTGGCTCCATCCAGTCCCAGAGAGTGCTCGGAATTCCAGTTCTGTTGAATCCGTTGACCGTGATGAACATTCCGCAAAAGAATATCAACAGAGAGTAGGAGACCTGGCAAAATCACAAAAGAAATTGACTTTCAAAGAAAATCCCAAGTTCCCTTATCGAGAAATCGGGCACATAGAATCCAGAGAGAGACTACCTTCTCTAGGCAAGGCCGAGCATCTTTAAAGTCAAGAACTACGAGGGCCAGGGCAGCGGTAATAGCTGTCCAAGACATATTCAGACCCATCAACAAAGAGATCAGCATACCGATGGTGACCAGGTAAACACGGGATTTCCACAAAATCGTCTTATATCTAGAGGCAGGTGTTTCCTTCCCCTCTGAATACGTCCCTGGAAACACATCATTCAACCCGTTGACAGATACAACTTCCTTGGAAGGAACCGTTTCATGCTTTTTCTGAGAAGCACCGTCATGAAGCGTCTCTTTCGATGCAGTTGAGTTTCTTGCAGAGGCAGGAGCACTGCTCAAGACCTGGCGAATTTCATTCTCATTCGAGGTCAACCTGTTTCTAAGTGACTCGACATGATTTGCATCCCCATTCATGGTTGCAGGAGGGCTCTGTATGTCCATTGGCTCGAACCTAGAGTTCCATTCTTGCAAGTTTGGGGATGTGCAGTGCGACATTGTGGCGGGCGAAAACCGATGAGAACTCATGTCTTCCTCGTCCACTCCTTCAGAAGCTGCATCTTCTTTGTCCTTTTGGATGGACAGTAGCTTCCAGTACATGCATAGAAGAATCAGTGCATTGACAAGAATCCCGATCACCATTGCAGGAAGAATTCCGACAATAAAACTCCCAAATGAGATCTTACTCTGAACAGCTATAACTAAATTTTGAGGATTCCCAATGGGAGTCGCCGAAGACCCAATATTGGCACTCGAGGCGAGGGCAAGTAAAAATGGATGCGGCGGGAGATTGTGTTGCCTAGCAATTTTGAGCACGAACTCAGTCAGAACGATACAAGACGTATCATTTGTGAAGAGAGCACTTGAAATGGCAGAGATCAAGCAAATCCGAAGAAGCAAGTCATGTGCTCCTTTGCTTTTCCAGGAGAGCAACTTACCCAGATGCTTGAACATATCGGCCTTTTCCAGATAGACGCTAACCACCATCGTCCCAAAGAGAAGTCCAAGGATTGGGAGGTCAATCGCAGCGTAAGCTTGATCGGGTGTTATGACCCGGAAAATCACCATAAGCATCGCTCCAAGGAGCGACCCTGCTGTTCTTCCTACAGGTAGGAATGGCACGGACGGGAAAACGGCCAATACCCAGAATATCGAAAAGGCAATGGACCCGAGAATCACTTTTTCGGTAGAAGCAAGTGCCATTTTCGGAAGATTCACAAGTTTCCCGAAATCAAAACTTCAGTTGGTGAGGATATTAATTGCTATAACTTCACCAGAGTCATCCTGACAGGATACCAGAATCCAATACATAGAAAGCTACATGAACATCGCCCCCGGGGAAGCTGTTAACTTTTGCAGTCTACAAAAAGGACTGAGAAAAAGTAATAACTAGTTACAAAGTAAGATTATCATCTCTTTCCGGGAAAGAGAGCCCATCAATGAATTATGCATTTGTCTCTGGGAAAGAACTGAAGCCAAATTTAAATTTTAACTTTTGCCTGCTATTCTTTTTCATTAGAAAACGAATCTCGAGATCAAGGGAAAAATTAGAAAACTTCGACCAACTTCGGGAATCTTTTCACTGAAATAAGTGAGAAAACATAATCATATGAAAATAAAGGAAACTGGCAAATCCCAATTTTTTGGTAATCCCTCTGCTTAGCAACCACAAATTAGTCGACTCCTGTTAAGTGTGTCAGCTATAACACAACTGACTTAGGGAGACATCCCAACGAAGACAGCATTAAGGTAGCGATACGACAGAGACGATAAAACAGTGCCAGAGCTTGAAACTGGGTATAAATCCAAGAAGAATCGTAGGTGCCGAACAGCATGAGAAGAAAGAGAAAGAAAGACGTAACTTGTAAAGCTGCAAAATTTACCTCACCTTTCGATCTTTATCAAGTCCCAAATCCCAGTAAGGCCTTTAGCAAAATTGGGTTCCCAGTGATAAATGTCACAAAATGAAACAATGGAAAGAGCTTGATGGAGGAGGATTGAAGTAGATAATTGTATTGCTTTCTCATGGAAAAAATGTATGATGTACAATCCTATTTATAATACATAGAGCCTGAATAATTTGAGCAAGAATATACAAAAAAGAGGGAAAAATGGGGGAAAGGACACTAGAAGTGCCAAAAGTTGTGTACGGCGCTCACTTTGGTGCCAAAAGTTTCATTTGAATCATTTAAGTGCCAAAATTTTTGAAAAACGATCACTTAAGTGCCAACTCCGGTCAGTTTGGCCGGAAATCCGACGTGGCATTTTTTTATTAATTTCTGAAGCCGATGTGGCTCGCCGGAGATACAGTCAGCACGTACAGTCAGCATTTTTTATTTTAAATAATTTTTTTTTTTTTTCCTTTTTTTTTCTTTTCTTTCTTTTTTCCTTCTTTTCTTTTTTTCTTTTCTTTCTTCTCCCTTTGGTCACCGCCGGTGACCGGAGGCCGGCCACCGGCCGCCTGGCCTCTCCCGGACGAGGCCGCCGCCGCCGCCACGGGCGAGGCCCGGCCGACCTCGCACGGGCGACGGCGGGCAAGCCCCGGCGAGGTCGACCTTGCCTCGCATGGGCGAGGGCTCCCGAGCTCGCGCCGGCCGGCGAGGCCCGGCCGTCGCCCAAGCCACGGCGGCTCGCGGGCATCGCCTTCCCGGGCGACGTCCGGTGGGGCCGCCGTGGCCTGGGCGACGGCCGGCCTCACCGGATCTGGCGAGGAGCCCTCACCGGGGCTTGCCCTCGCCCATGCGAGGCGAGGCGATCTCGCCGGGGCTTGCCCGCCGTCGCCCGGGCGAGGGTCGGCGGGCCTCGCCTATGGCGGCGGCGGCGGCCTCGTCCGGGCTAGGCCAGGCGGCTGGTGGCCGGCCTCCGGTCACCGGCGGTGACCAAAGGGAGAAGAAAGAAAAGAAAAAAGGAAAATACGAAAAAATTCAGAAAAGTATTTAAAAAATCGAAATATATACGTGGAAATGCCACGTAGACTAATTTTTTTTTTTTAAAAAAATTCAACAAAGATTAAAAATTTAATTATAAATGCCACGTATTAATTTGGCCGGAATCTCTCGCCGTTGGCACCAAAGTGATCATTTTTCCTCCGATTTGGCACTTAAATTATCCAAATGAAACTTTTGGCACCAAAGTGAGCTCCGTACACAACTTTTGGCACTTCTGCTGTTCTTCCCCCGGGAAAAATGATTCCCAAGTATACAGTGTCAATTAAAAGGAATCACATCAAATATATGATATCAATTAGAGCCAAAAGTATCTCCATCAAATCAATTATGGGCAATGGTATCTCCAACAATAAATTCCATGGAGACATGGACCCGGCATGTTCAAGCAATATTGATGAGCTCACAGCTGAAGGAGAAGAATTCCACTCTTCATTGCACGACTTTTCCCAGAATGTTGCTAATCAGCTTGCAGTTATATGTTAGGGATTTCAGTTATACCATCAAATCTAATTAATGGTAAAGGTGTATTCATTCATTTGTCCGATTACTTATATAAATATAAATAAATGATTCTATAAGATCAGTTGTAACTGGACTTGTTCTTGAGACTTAAGAATATGTGTGACGGGTTCACAGTTAGACTGAATCTTTAAACTATTCCTTATCGATGGATTATTGAATGGATATTAATGATCTTGTTGAGACCGGTGTGTCCTAAACTTCGCCATTAAAGTATTGGATACTTAAGGAAATGACGAGTCACTAGTCATTGGGTATTGTGATGCCCGAGCTAGAACACAGGTGCTTGTATTGGACAAGTTCACTGAACGTGATACACAAAGAACGATTAGCAACATGGAAGTTTCTAGCGTGGTCAATGTCTAATCGTTCATACTTTGGTTTTGTGTAAATAATCTTTAGACCCAAGGCACAGTATTTTTTTTTTGGTCTTCAAGGCACAATATTGACTTGTATGTTGGATGGATATGGTTCACAAGGTGCGCACATTGATGCTTCGTTGAACCGTCAATGTACTTGATGGTTATGGTTTGTTCACATACGAAGGCATACATGTGCACAATATGGAATCTATCTTCTTGTTATATAACAATAATGATGTCCTATGCAATCTAATCATGACATTGTATTGAAATCCTCGGCTGGGGTTGTAACCGGGTTCATCTCTCATTAAGAATACATGTGTATCAGGTTTGTGCATATGGTCGAATAGGTGACTTGATAAGAAATTTCCATGGTCTTTGTTCGATCGGGACATAGTAAGACAAAGGGATTAAATTACACCGCAGCCAAAGCTAACAGGTTCATTATGTTTTTACCGTATTCACATTGTCTGGGAAGCAATAACATATTGCTAGATGTCACTCATGGCTTGTAGGACCTGGAGGTTAATCGGGATAATCAATTTTCTTGAGAGTACTAATGTGTTAGTACAAGTTTTACTATCAGCTCAGTGATGAATCTAGGGATGCCACACATCATAACCAATTCAGCATGACGTTAAACACAAGAGACAATATTGTAAATATGTTTGCAATCACGGCAATTGAATCGAGTCGGACCGAAATTGAATCGAGTGTGATTTAATTTAATTTTTGGTCATTGGCGTACCTGGACACGCACGACTGAAGTGGACACATATTTATGTCCAAAATATACACATGATCGGCCAAATTTGACATGGGTTTCATATCTTTTATTTGTTTATTGATAATGCTTTATACTTTCTTGGTTGGAAGAGCACTTGAATGTAAAAAGGAGAAGCCACGGTGAAGAAAGAGAAAGATGTGTCATTCTTTAATATATAAGTAAAGAATCACTTTGGTTCTTGCTATAGTTTAATGACAGAGTCGGTGGGTTTTCATTATTAAATAAAAACCATGGGCATGTTCTTTCTTAAGTGGCGCACTTACTTGAAGAAAGAAGACTCCACTGATCATTATTAAAAATGTCATATTCTTTCTGCGGGATAAGGGTGAGTGGAATGATAACTCATGCTCATTCCTTCATGAACTCCCTCAATAAACAGAGGTGTGAGCAGAAGATGAAAAGTGTGTCGTGACCTACCCATTCCGATTGGTTAGGCTAAGAGGTATTTGTCAATGGATGTGAACATTAATTGATTCGTTTGGAGGACAAACCAAATAGTTTATAAATCCAAGGACCGATGCACTCCCTAGCCTCATACCTTGCGCGGCGAGAATTGTCTAATTTACACATTTGATTGGAGTCGCCACTAGTTATAATCAAGGGTTGGCTAAAAACCATAATCAAGACGTGAGAGTATCGTCTCGATATGCGTGAAAATCAGAGATTCTAAAGATCGGGAACTTGATTATACTAGCGATCTAACTAGTACCATTTTGGTACCTAAACTTGAACGTTCGCAAACTATCGTACCGGGTAGCCTATCGAAGAAGCTTAAGATTCCACCTAACCATGCTAAAGATGGAAAATAAAAATCAATGTATTAAATGTATGCAACCAAATAATCATAAAGAAATTAAACAACCAACGATCTAATATCGTCTCTAAAAAGAAAAGGCAATCAAAAGCCCTAAAGTAAAGCCCTAATGGCTTGTTCAAATTTTTGAGAATTTTTTAAAGGATTTTTTCAATTTTTACAAGTTTTAAATTAAAGTCTAGAATGAGATAAACACTAATATCTAGTGAAATTAAGCCAAAAATTGATTTCTGAACATTTCCTAATTTTTTGGAATTTTTTTATATTCTAATTTTTATTAATAAAATAAAAATTCCGGACCGGGTTCCCTGACCCGATCTGGCCGGCTACCTAATCCAGCTCTCCGACCCGCCCGGGATACCTTTTTCCTATTTTTTTTCTTTTTAGTTTTAGTTTTTTTTTTCCCTCGTGCCTTTTTGCCCATAACGCCTTCTTCACTAGGACTTCCCCCACGCTTTCACCGAGACTACGCCGGGAATGCCCACTGCCGGCCGTCGGCTCGGGTCGCCAGCGCCGACGATTGGCGCTGGCCTTACGCCGTCACCGCCGGCCAACGCTCCGGCGACCACACCGGCGACCAAAACCGACCACAACTCCAGTCACAAATCCACACCGGCGACTCAAACTCATTTTCCGGTTACCGAGCTCTTTGGCTATACAACAAAAAGACATTAACACTGAACATACAAGCATAAACAAACATCCAATGGAGATAGAGAGCTAACGGTTACGGCTCCGAATCGCGAGCATGTCTAGTAAAAGGGAGTGAAACTTCCGGCGAGGAAATGCATACACGCAGCCGACTCGGACGATGTGTGAACCGCGACAAAACCACACGAACAACAGAGAAAACTCAAAGTCAATGACATATCAGAGCAAATCGTGCGTAAATCAAAGCTCTAGAGCATCGGTTTTCATAAAGTTCATCTCGG